CAAAGGGTCTGTGGTTTAAGGACTTTGTGAAGCTCTATGGTAAAGGTAAATGAGGTTCATTCCTGCAAGATTGCTGTGAGCTTTTAATATAATATACTGATGAGCTTCAGGAATCTCCAAGATGGTAAATGCCCAGCAAATACTTCTGAAAATTACTTGACCATGGAACGCTCATCATTTTTCAGGGCTGGTTTTCTATAGAATGAACTTTCAGGGATATGATAGTAATTATATGACAATATTAAAAATATTCAGTATGTACCAGTTACTATGCCATGGCTTTAAAAATCCCATCTTATTTTTTTTTACAACTTTAGAAAATAAACAGAAGTTTATTTCCATTATGCCGATGAGGAAACTGAGGTTCAGTTTAAGCCATTTAAATGGACGGGGCAGAGTCAGAATCTAATTCCAAAAAAGGGACCATATCCATTATTTCACCCAAAACGTGAAGTTGAGTCTCGCGGGATTTCAGAACTGTGGTTGCCAGCACCCAGAATGAGAGGCATTCAGTGACTGGCAGTACTGTCCAGTCCTCGCTCTGCTCTGTGCGTGAATAATGGCAAATATTTGCTCAGCACTTTCCCCCTCTACTTGCACCTTGTTTACGCTGCAATTGGAGAGGGATTAAGTTATGCTAATTCCATACAACAAGCTAGAGCCCATTTATCACAAGTTTCCATTCCTCAGCAAAACACACAAATGCACCTAAGTGTTGGGCAAACGAAGACGTGCAGCTGCTGTTGTGTGGAGCAATAATAGCCTGTTTATATTCAGGGCCAGATCAGCAAGCAGAAGCTACCCACAGAACACAGAGGACAACGGTTTTCAGTCTCTCCCTGCCACCGCCTGCTGCTTCCTGCCGGCCTGCTGCCTGCCTCTGAGAAGTGCAGGCAGGACGCAGAGATGGGGAGGGGCACAGAGAGCACAGGTTTTAGGACTTGGGGCACAGGAGCCCATTTTCCCAAAGCGACATGCTAATAACTAAACTGTGTTAATGCAGCTTGTTTAGGAAGGAGGATTTGGGAATGATTTTTTAATTGGGAGATTTAACCTAGTGATGAGGAGAGAGAGGAGAGGAGGAAGGGAAGAGAGTCCATTTGTGTGTGAGCACACAGATGTGTTTGCAGGCATTTGCTTTGTCTTAGCCAGAGCCTGGCCAAAGCAATTTCCTCTCTTCAGTTTTCCATTTATTTCAAATGCCAACCCTTTCAAGCAGACTTAAAGTTCTTCCTGATTGCTCCATCACACCCATGTCCTGCTTATTCTGAAAGCGTTCAGCTGGGAATTAGAAGTTGAGTAAATAAAGCTAACCTGCCTCTACCCGTCCTAACCATCTTTGGTTCCTCTCTGGGGCTCTGTTTGTCCCCAGTCACATCAAGGGTTTGCAGTAGATTATTTTTCAAACAGCTTCCTATCGTCATTTCCTTAAGTATTAAGATGGTATTGGGATAATGTGGAGAAAGTGAGCAACCTTAGCTTTTATGAATTCTTAAGATAGCTGAGATTTGCTTCAAAATTAATCCAGTGATTGGGGTTATGGGGACTGGATGGGGTTAGAAATATAATAATACTGCTGTTTGTGGCTTGATGGTTATGGAAGCTGGGTGATGTTTACATGAGGCTTCATGTCTCTATTTATACATACCATGCATATATGTGATACATACAGATAAATGCAATGTATACATGTCATCCAAGTTTAAAAGTATGTGAGTTGTGATTTTGAAACTTAATAACATTTTAACTTGTGTCACGTGTTAAATTGCTTCTTGTGCTATGGTTTTGTCTTAATTCCCATACTTAGAAATATCATTTAAAATTTCTGATAGTCCTCACTGAAACGAGCCCAGGGTTGACGAGGTCTGTCTGGAAGGTGTCCAGCCATGTACTATGAAAAAATAGAGACATTTATTGAAGAAGATACAAGATACAAGAGACGTTGCACACAGGACAAGGATGCCCCATTCCCCTTCAAAGTGGGCACCTTGCGCCCTTGCACAGTTCTGCCAGTCACCATCAGCTGCCCTGTCGTATTTTCCTGAATCTCATTGACAGTATGAAATCTCTTCCCTTTCAAAGGTGATTTTAGTTTTAGGAAAAGCCAGAAGTCACAGGGCACCAAATCTGGGCTGTAGGGGAACTGAATCACCTCAGTGATTTGATGTTTAGCCAAAAAACTCTGCATGAGATGTGATGAGCGAGTGTGTTGTGATGAAGCTGCCAATCACCAGTTGCCCATAGCTGCAGCCATTTTCATCATATTCCATCTCTCAACTGGTGCAGAACATCGAGGTAGTACTCCTTATTAATTATTTGGCCTGGAGGGGTGTACTCATGATGGACAACACCTTCCCAATCAAAAAACACACTTAACATGGTCTTGATCTTGCTACAATTTTGCCGTACCTTCTTTTGTCATGGCGACCCAGGCACATCTGTTGGGTGACTGGGTCTTTGTGTCCAGATATTAGCCATAGACACATGATTCATCTCCAGTTATAACCTTCTTGAAGAAAGCTGGTTCATTGGTAGCCATTTGAATCAAGTCATTATCAACTGAAAGCACGATGTTCCTTCTGCTTTGGTAGCAGAAGTCATGGAATGAATTTTGCCACAACACATTCCATGCCAAGACCTTGTATCCAAATCTCGGACACAGTAGTTTTTGGAATCCCCAGATCAGTTTCTAGTTCTCTCACTGTCAGTCGCCGGTCTTTGTTGATTGCAGCCCGTACACGTTCAACATTCTCAAGTGTTCCACTTGGGGCAGGCCTTCCAGAACATGGGTCACTTTCAACAGATTCTTCACCATCTTTGAAGCATTTCTGCCACACTTTTACTTGTGCTGCACTTACTGCATCATCCCTGAAAGCCTTTTGAATCATCTGAATAGTTTCCATAGAGGAATACTCAAGCTTGATGCAAAATTTGTTGCAGATTCGTTGCTCTACTCAGTCATTTTGAATATGACAGCCGCACAGTACACATGCTTATTCAACAGTGTCTACCACCCCCACCAACTAGTACAGCGAAGTCATCATTGTTCACACATGCACATTCCAGTCCACTCTCCTTGGCTGCCTGGTTACATCAATGTCACACAAACCATTTTTGTTATATTAACGATGGCTGGACTTCTTCTAGTCAGACCTTATATACAAAGTGTGTGTGTGTGTGTGTGTGTGTGTGTGTGTGTGTGATACTTGGTTTCAAGTCTTACTTCTTCCATTTACTAGTTCTGAGTCCTGTGGAACAACCTTAACCTATGAGAATCTCATTGTTCTTACCTGTGCAGTGGAAACCATGGACCCTGCCTTCCGCTTGTGAGAGTCAGTGGCGATAGTGTCTGTGACAGATGGAGGTGTTCTCTTCCCTGATGACATCCTACCAGTTTTGGTGTGAACTCTGAAGTATCTCTGGACTCCTGAGCTGATGGCACTGCGCTTGCTTCGTAAAATTAAAGAGACCTCTAGTTTCTGATTGTGAGCTAAAAGCACGTGTGCCTTGGGTGTTCTGCCGCATCTTCTCACACACAGACCTGCACACTCAAACTTCACAGCTGAAATGCTCCTTGACATACAGAGGAGGGAGAAGCTTAGTGCTTCCTAAAAGCTGGTTCTTCTAAAACAACTAAGCCTGTTTTCAGAGAGAGGGTTTGACTTTGTTTTTCACCAAAATGATTTGGCATACGGAATACACGTCTCAGTACATAGTGGTTATTGAGTGGCTGGGATGTTATCCTACAATAACCAGACAGACCAGAAGCAGCCTTGAGTCTTATCTGAGACCATCAGTATTACAGCCTCTGTTCTTGAACTTTTGTTCCTGGATGACCAGAACATTGCACTTTTGGCTCTTAACAGAGAAAAAACACAGAAAATGGTGCTTAAAGGTCACCCATATTTCTGAGTATCAGGCTTTGCTTCAAATGATGGAAGTTAAAAGGTCAGCATTCAGGCTTCTAAGGGGTACATGTTGCTTGCCTTTTATGCTTGAGTTATGCTGTTTTTGCAAAATGTCAGTTTTCAAGAGGGTGAAAATTAATTGCAAACAAAGTTTTAAAGCACAACAGCTTTGACCCTGAGATGGAGGAGGTTTGGAGGTGAAGAGAGATATCCCCGAGAGCTGCAAAGTAAGGGCAAACTCAGGTAGGGAGGATCTTTTATGGATGCAAAGACATCAGTTTAGTCCTAGAGGTGAACTCAACTCATCTGAGTGGCTGGTGCTTCATGGCATGAGCTGTTGGGGCTTTGGAAAGTTGTAGCTACAACACCCAATTGCACACCCCTCCTCCAGCCCTTGTGAAATATTCACTAGGCCATCAGTTTTCTGTGTATAAAAAACATTAGCATGCTATTACTACTTTTCAGTTCTTTCTTTCATATGACAACAGCTGGGACAGGAATGAGAGAAAATGGATAATTCATAAACATATTCCTTTGGTGCTTTTTTTCTGATTATCTGCATTGCTTAGTAGGCAAAGCTTGCATTCAGAGTATAGGAAAATTTGGTAATTGTATTATTATAAATATTGATTTGAAAGACAGCAGCAGCAGTAGCCATAAAAGCTAATATTTGTAGAAGCCTCAATATGTGCCTAGCGCTGTTTTCAGTGCTTTACATGCATTGACTCATTTGATCCTGACAGAAACCGATGAGATATGTGCTGTTAGTCTCATCTCAGCCCACGAGGCACATTAAGCTGAAGTACTTTGCCCAGGATTGCACACCTAGCCCTAGGTGCAGCCAGCCTTCAGTCCACGTAGTCTGGCTGCACTGTCCTTCTTGGACAGGCCAGCTGGCGCATTCTGGGGGCTGAGACAGGCTCAAGCACATCCACGTTGCAGCTGTGTGACATGCACCTTGTGTGTAAGCCCCATGTGGTTTTCTGGGACTTGCCCTTTAGGTGAACAGTGTAAGTCTCTCATGGAGTCCCCAGCCAACCACCCACCCACCCACCTACCCACATCATGACCATGCCTTGCTTTCTCCCACAGCCCCACTGGTGGACCTCACTCCGACCCACAGTGGATCCGCCATGCTGATGCTGCTCTCCGTGGTGTTTGTGGGGCTGGCCGTGTTCGTCATCTACAAGTTTAAGAGGTACGTGTCCCTCTGTCTGTGTTTCCCCGCCCTCTCTCTTCTCCGTGACAGGTTCAGAACGTGTGATGTTCATGTCCTGCGCATAGCAGTGATGGTTTCTGTTGATGTTTTAGGAAGATCCCGGGGATTAATGTTTATGCCCAGATGCAAAATGAGAAAGAACGAGAGATGGTCAGTCGAGTCAGTCCCACTGAAAGCAGGCCCCATTTCTGTCAGACTGAACTAAGGAGGCCTGGCCAGCTGATAGATGAGAAGGTGGAATCCCAGCTCATAGGTAAATGATTCCCAGTAGCTGTCAGCTGTTCAGCCTGAGTAGTCAATGGCTGAGTCTGTCTCTAACCCCTTTCTGGCTTGACATAACCACTGTTTTCTACTCTAACATCCCTGAGAGGAACAGCTAAGATGCCTCTTTCCCTGCTGCTTCCCTTTGGAATGAGGAAAAATGCCTTCTTGCTCCTGTCTACTTTTTGCCTCTCTCTCTCTCTCATGAGCTCCTCCTTTTCCAAAAACCCATGCTAAAATGTTGGATGTTCTTGGGTGAGGAGCAAACCGTTTGCTCGGACAGTACTCAAGAAGGGCAGGCGTCAGAGGCTGGGTTTGGCGGTCTGGAGGGCCAGGCAGGAGACAGCTTCCAGGGGGGCGCACAGCTCGGGGACACTTGAAGACGAGTGACATAATGAGGCTGGTAGAGGAGTGACAGCCCGATCACTTTGGGACTTTTTTTATTGTTAATGTAGCTCTAATCTAAAAATTGTCCCCCCCTAGAAAACACAGAACCTGAGAACTTGAAGGACAAGAGGCATAAAGTTTGTAAGACATCCCAGGAAGGGGGTTTCCTATGGGACACCCCTGGAGGGTTAGGCGATTACAGAGTGTGTTGACATATTCCTTCTTTTCACCTGACCCCTACTGGGAGTGTTGAAATGGACCTCATCTCGATCAATAGAGCTTACCCTGCCTGTGAAATCAGCATGCTAACCCAACAGCTAGGAATAGAAGGGCTCCAGTGGGACTGCTGAGTCCTCTTATTCATTACAGAGAAAATTTTCCAAGAAGCTAGACAAACACAGGAAGCCACGATTGTGATCCATTTCTCTTCTTGTTTCCTCCTGTCTGTTGGCAACAGGAGTTGAAGCTGTAACTGTTCCCATCTAGACCCTGCATTGCTGACTACGATGGATAAATTACTGTATAAGCATTCATGCTTCACTCTAATGTAATAATGCCAGACCACCTAAGAAGGCCCTTATAAGATTGTTACTTGGGGAAAAAAAAATGAGTACCTAAATGAAAACATAACCCTCTCTTTAAATGGATAGGGGAGAGTTCCCTGGCTGTGTTCAGGGGAAATTTAAATGCAATGACTGGCTCATATCAGTGGTAATAATAACCCCCGCAGCCACATGTGGTGTCCAATTTTCACAGTGCGCTTTCTTTTATTTGGGGAGACAGGGCGATAAGTGTGTAATTGCTTTGGGTTTAAAAGAAAAAGCCTTTTCTGTCTTCAAGTCTAGAGAAGCATTCACCCTGTCGATTCACTGCTAAAGCTTCTAAGTGCATTTCTGTGGGTCATTTGGTTTTCAGTCCCATTGCCCCCGGGTATGAAGCGCAGGCGCCGTTGACTTTGTCAGAGTAGCCAGGCCTCCTCCGCCAGGAATGTCTTGCGGCACATTGCAAAGTCTCTGACACCTTTCCATTTCCAATGTCATTAAATGAGTAAGTGTTACACGTTTTCTCTTAGGAGAGTAGCTTTACCCTCCCCTCCCTCCCCTTCTACTCAACCTGGTGACTCAACTCTCCGATTGCAAAGAGCAAGACAAGCCACTCCGCCTTCAACGCCAAAGCGGGGATCTGCTGGGGCACAATTTGCAATTTAAGGAAAACCCCCAAAGGCCACAGGCGACCAGCTGATCAGGAAAGAATTTCGCTCTTGTCAAGTGCATCATGCTTCATGACCACTAACTTTATGTTTTCTTTCTTTCCTCTGTTGTTCTGTTTCCTATTTTGCCAGGAAGTATTTCCATAGTTGCTGAGAATCAAAGCACAAAAGAAATCCCTACCTATGTAAATGTTTGAATGGAGGACGCCAGTAAAAACAAAAATAAACAAACAAAAAAACAAAATAAAAACAATCAAAATCCAAACAAACAAACAAACACGCACTGCATCGGGACTTTTTAATTCTTCAGACACAGACAACAAGGGTTTTTAGCTTTAAGCCTGTGCATGTGGACTGTACCTTGAGACCATGCTCCGAGGGGCAGTGTACAGGTGCTCTATTTTAATGGAAAAACACTCCCCTCCCCCTCCCTTCGCTCTCTTTTTCTGATCGGTCGTGTTTGTAGAAACTTCCTAACATATTTAGGCCAAGGAAATCTGCATGTATTTTTGGAAATATTCTTGGCTCTAGATTTAACAGCGATTTTAGCTCTCCCGGCTGATGGGTGGGGTAGCCACCCCAGCCCCTTTCCCAAGACACAAAGACATGCACAGGAGTTTGAAACCCTGAGCTGTTTCTCTGTTCCATCTTCCTTATTGCCATTTCCGCTTCCAAGTTATCTGGTAGCTCTGTGGGCCCCAAGGCTGCTTTCTGCATTCGGTGTGGCCACAGGGGTAAAGACAGGAGTTGAAGCTCCATGCTCGCAGGCAGAGTAGGGAAGGAAGGAAGGCAGGCAGGCAGGCAGGGAAAGCGTGCCAGAAGCGAACCTGTGTTCTCCGTTCACCCAGTCCAGTCACGACTGCTTCCTTTGCAGCTTTCTCTACTCCTTGCCCGGTTTAGATGGAAAACAGAATCCCAGTTACCCATTGACTGGCCTTTCCATTTGTTTGCTCTCCATTTGTGGTCATGATCTGTTGATGACCTTGTATCTCTTCCTTCCAGTCCCCAAGTTACCCCTCATCTGCACCTACCTTGTCTTCCCAAACACATTGCTAAGATTCTGGACACATTAGCCCTGATGTTCCCTAAATAGTGGCCTCTTCTCTGCCAACCCTGCCTCCACCACCTGCAAGTTTCTGGTCTGTCAGTCTTGTACACTCCCAGGCATGCCAGCTTCCTCACTCACTGGTCCAGCTGCACCCTGCCCTGCAGGGTTCAGCTTCATGTGCCCTCTGACTCCTCCTGTAGTACCTGCCTCTTCCAATATCCTTGTCCTCTCCCCCCTGGAAACATATCATGTGTGTGTGAAAGAGTCGGTTTGTACGCAAAGCAACTCAAACCTGGCCATGTACATTGGAAAAGAAAGCATTCAGATGAATGGTGGTATCCTCACACCATCACAAACATCTTATGCAGGCCGATTTTAGAAGATTCCTGTGAAGTGTTTTGAACTTGTTACTGTATGGCAGGGCAATTTCCTTCTGTGATGGTTGCTGTACTCAGTATTTCCTCTCTCACAGTAGAGTGAGAATATTTGTAAAATAAAACTGTTTTAACTGGAAGAAGAAGCAGGTTAATGGATTTAATGTTCAAGAGTGTCAAAAAGTCTAAAAGCAGACGGAGGTCTTGTCTTACATTAGGATGAGATTTTGATGATGCAGAATCACCCCAGACACCTCACCTGCGTGCTCTCTGATCTCTGGTGCCGTAATATCCACTAAGACAAAATCAGTAGCATAAAGGAGAGGAGTTAGCTCACTAACTAAAGTGAATTGGCTCACAGCATGAAGAAATTCCAGTTTTCCCAGGGCAATTGGAAAAGAAGGCCCAGAGAAAGAAGGTAACAAACGTATGTCCAGCAGAGGGTATAGGAGTATTCTGGGTTGGGCAAACCCACTCTAAAATAGAGAAGAAAGCTGTTTTGAAAAACAGTTTTGATCACTCAGAGAGCACAGCCTCTTTCTTGGTCATGTCCCCCAGCCAACAGCAGGATGTAAGAGGGCCCTGGTGATATAACAGGACCCAGGGTGTCCCAAAGACCCTGATGGTCCCTGCCCTTGTGTAGCCCAAGCAGAGGAAGACTAGTGAGGCTGACGTGAAAAGTTAATCAAGCAGAAGATGTTATGGTTGAAGATGCCCAGAATGAGTTCTGGGAAATGGATTGATGCCTGAGTGGCCATCTATTTGTAGAACTCAATTGATCCCCGACCTGCCAGGCTTCCTATCCCATAGGAGACATCCTCATTGATCCTCTTCAGTTGGAGCCTCCCAAATTTAATCTGGAAGACAAAATGTCTGGGAACCAAAAGAGGCTCACTCGAAACAGCACAGGAAAGTCCTCAGAGTTGCAGTTCACATCATTTTAATTGGAAAATCATGAAAAAGGGAATAGCACTCAAATCTAGCACAGTGCCTTGCCTTGAGCAAAAATAAAATAATTTGTTAAAGGAATGAATGAATGGCTATGTGAGAAGACAGAGGAAAGAAGGGGCTCATTGAGGCTTAACTAACAGTAGAGAGGAACAAAGGATGCCTGGCATTTTGGAAAGTGACCAGGTCTCGATTCAGCATCTCTGGGGTCCTCATGCGCCTCTTCTCCAAGCTTCCTCCCACCTGTAGGAGATTCATGAGGTAACGCACTGCCCAGCAGAGACCTCATTGTTCTTAAAATCTTGCTCCCTGTTTCTCAAAGTGTGGTGCCTGTACCAGCAGTATTAGCGTCATGTTGGACTTATTAGAAAGGTTCATTTTGAGTCGCCATCCTATATCTACTCTAGGAATCGGAAACTCCAGGGGTGGAGCCCAGCAATCTGCTTTTACAAGCCCCTCAGGTGATTGTGATGTATACTAAAGTTGGAGACCCACTGTGCTAGGCCATTTCAGCTTAGCCCCAAAGACAGGTTAATAATAGCAGCCTACTAATGGGAGGGGCCCAAGTGCCTACCTACTCACTAACAGCAGGTACAAACACGAGGCAGAGTTTGGTGGCCTTCAGGCCACAAGAGTGGGTGGAAGGGATAGGTGTCAAGAGTAAGATTCAGGGCAAGATAAACAGCAGATACTGCAATGTTTTCCAAAACCCAAGAAGGCCAACTGTGCATGTTCTACCTAGAACTACCCAACCTACATTTTCTCCTTTGCCTTATTCCTAATTGGGTTCACTGTCCAAAATGCAGAGGTTTGCTTTGCTTTTTTCAGAAGTTCCAAACAGCAACTTTGAGAGCAATGAGGTGCTTGGCAGCTGTTCTGTGTTTTCCAGGATTCCAACTGAGCATTGAAATCCCTCATTTGCCAACTTATTTTTATAGGAAGCCAATTTAAAAAAAAAAAAGAGAAAGTTTTCTTATAGTATCGGAACTACTTCTAATTTTCAAATGACTTTTTTGATGTATTTTTTGTTAAATACTATGTAGTGTAATGTATAATTGCTCTTGTTTATTGCTTTTACAATCATATTTATTAAACAGATAATGTCTCTAAAGTCTTGGCCTCAAGGTTCTTATTTTATCCAGACCTTAGCATTCATTCTTGACATAGAAGGGACGCATCTGTATGAGTCCATAAAGGTTTACCATATGAGACTATGGTAAACTCCACAGGCTCAAAGGGTGATGTTTTATGGGGTCTTTTTTGTTTTGTTTTGCCAACAAAATAGAGTATACTACCTGAATTCTACCTACATTTCAGTTGATTATATGATGTCTAATGCTTTATTCCATTTAAAAATCACTACAAACTGTTTACTTTAAAATAGGTAATATGGTCATTATCAAAATTAGAAGTGACTATTATGGAACAAACCCATTCAAATTTGTTTATAATCTTGGAGTTACTGAAGAACCAAACCTGCATGACATGAACTTGGAGAGTGGTCAAGTTTCCAATGATAGCATAAAATTGTCTTTAAACCTGAAGTGAAGGGAGTGGAGTTCTTCTTCTGGCCGGGCCAGCTGTGTGAACTTGAGAAAAGCACTTTCATGTACAGCATGTAATCTGAAGAGAGCTTTGGCATCCTGAGTGGGTGAGTTGTTTCAGAGAGTCCCACCGAGCCAATTTGAACTTGGTGGAAAACAAACAGGTGGACTGGATCCCAATCAGTTCACCTCTCCTTGCACAACGTTTTGCCCTTATAGTTGATTGAAATATGTGTGCAGACACAGACCCCTCCTTCGCCTTCCCAAAGACCTGCGAGGCTCCGCACGCAGGAGAATGCCTGGTGTTTTCCCGTGGCCTTTACCTTTTCCTTTCCCACAGGCTAAATCTGCCTTCTGAACCTTCATTCTTTTCTATGCCAGAGCCTATGCTGCTGTTCCCATTCAGGAGCAGGTGTCTCCTGTGTCACTGAGGGTCCAGGTGGTTGAGCAAGCTCTCACTAGAGATTTCAAACAGAGGGGATGTAATACAGGGAATTTCTTGCCTGAGTTACTGAGGAGCCAAGACGCCAAATAGGGGAAGGGGAGGTGATCCCAAGTTTGGCATCCACAGGAAGCCTCTCCCTCTCCTGGGCTGGAAGGACATAAGGATGCTCAGAGTCCAGGACCCAGGATGACCAGATTGAAGCTGAAGTCACTGAGCATGTGTCTGGCAGTTGTGGCAGCCACAAAGGAGACACGGAGGACACACAACTGTAGCCAGCGATGCTGCCCCAGCTGAGGAGACGAAGAGGGAGCATGCCTTTCCCTTGTTCTGCTCCTCCCACCTCCAGCCTGTGCTTCCAGCTGGGCACCCCCAGCCAGCAGCCGGGGCATGGAGCCTGGGAAACAGAGTTTCCTGAAATAACAAAGCCGAGCAGGGAGCAAGTGGGGAGTGGACTGGGGAGAACACGGGCAGGTGCCTGGCACAGCAGCTCTTTCAAGTTCAGCCCACATCAAAGCCAACGAATGTCCCCCAACCCAAAGGCACTCACTGAACTGTAGATGCTCCTTTCTCCGTGACATTCTTTCATGGATTTCCCTTTAAGCAACACATATTGAAAACTTGGCATTGTATTTCTGTGTGCCACATTACACCTTTAGTCACCAGGTCCTGTGCTCACTTAGGGGAAGATTTTTATGTTATTATTAATTTCCCTCCTTCCACCTTTAGCGCTGGACATTGCCATTAGAGGGCACTAGATAAATGTTTGCTGAAACTCAGCCCTGGATTTCTCAGTTTCAGGTGTCGTGAGCAAGTCCCTTTTATTCAGCAGTGAGCTCCGAGGTGTCATCCTCGCTCTGACCCTTTACCCAGCTGGCACTTCTAACCACGTGGCCAGTTCCTGTTTGTCGAGAATCAACACATCCTTGCCCTGCCTCGCTGGCACCACCCACACTGCTGAAACCGGGAAGCTATCTTTACATATTAATTTAAGTAAAATAACTGCAGTTTAGAAATAGAAAAAAAAAACCTGGCTAGAAAGTAGTACAAAAAACAGAAGACTGAGTTTGGTTTCTGAATTATTATGTAATCCGTTTCCCTGTTTCTTAGGATTTAATCGTATTTTGAAAATGCATTTTAGGCTAGCGCTTCCCTAGTAAGGGAATCCTACAGTAATTCCAGATGGACGCAGACAAGGAGAAAGCTGTTACAGTTTTTATTTTAAGCACGTGAAAAGGGAGCTGTGACTTGCACAGTACAAATATTTATTAATCGGTATGCAGACTTCTTTAGGTGAACAAGGCAGATATGATATCTGCCTTCACAAGCGTATATTCTGACAGGAACAGTGAATGAATAATAAAAGTTAATGTGACATATACAATGTTATCATTACACATAAGGAAATTATAAGATGTCGATACGTACAAATACAATAAAATGTAGGAGGGAGCGGAGTGACCTAGGACGGGATGGGAGAGGGGGTGTGGGTGCGTGGCTTCTCTGAGATCTGAAAGCTAAAAGGAAACCAGCCATTTGAAGACACATACATTGTGAACTTTCCACACCAAGGGTTCTGCATGATTAAATGAATATTCCTACCTTAAAGCATTTGCATTTATTCTTTACGACATAGGAAATGTACCATGCATCACCACCTTTTTTTCTTGCCTTTGATAGCTCATTGACCCCCCTACTTATATCGAACGCTTCATATTCCTCTGTCCCATAGCCTCAGTACCCTTGTAATATGTTGCATATGAAAAAGAAGGAATAACATTCATAGCACATTTGGAAATGCATCTAGGAATTGGGAATGATATACTAGGCAGAACAAATAATTTTCTGATTTGTTTATCTGCTATTTTAAGAATGAAATCAATAGTTGCCCACCCTTCTAGATTTCCCGGGAGCATTCTCAGATTATTTCTATAGGATAAAAAAAGATATCATCTCATGTGATAATTATTTTCCGGATTCTTGCTGAGCTAGCATCTCATCCACAAATACGTGCCTGTGTTTAAACGAAATAAGCACGTTTTGCCAAGCACGTCCACCCACCCTTATGGATGCTCAGAAATCTTATTTCATGAATCTCCAGAAATACCAGTTCAACCCTAACCAGGAGAAAATTTCTGTAGAGCAAGAAGGAAGAATTGAACCTTTTTTGGTCAGGCATGTCACTAAGGACAACTGGTCTCCCGTGTTGTGAGCCATCTGAAATGCAACACACTGAAGAATTCAGAAAGCAGTATTGCACTTTTGTCTTATTTAATCCAGCACATGAGATGCTTTGTTTTGCAACCGATCCAGTGGTGTTTTTAAGCTGCTCCAGCTCCAGGCCTGTCTAGTATTTGAGTCTTGACCCTTTGGGTCAGCATAGCCTTTGAATCGGCCTTCCCATTGAATCAGTCCAGACCATCAATTCGCCAGAAAGCTACTAACCATACAGATGAGTGGGAAACATCACTCATCTTTTAGGAAGAAACACAGCCCACAAGCAAAAGTAAATGTTGTGGTGTCATGCAGACCTGATACTCCACGATCATGAGAGAGGCGTTTCACTTTACTGAGGCCTGCTTTCACCAAATCTAAAAGAAGAAAGACATTCTTACCTGGGTAACTTGAGTGGATTAGGTGAAATAATGGGTATAAGGCACATTAGATAATGACATGTGATGTTCAAAAGTGATAGCTGCTTTATTATTTTTATCATTAATATATTTGGCATTCACACTTCCTCATTTTATATGTGTGTTTCATTCATATTTTTATGTAACTCTGAACTCTTGGTTTTGGACACAAAACCCTGATAGCCTTTGGCCCTTTGGATTTAGTGTCTCTCCATATACTTACACCCGTGCTTGGATCTGGACTTCACACTAGGATTTGGGTTTGCTTACAGCTCTGGCTGCCCTGGTGTTCCCTCTGTGCCCTCGCCTTTGCCAATGAGAATATCCTGCCCCCAGATATTCAATGAACACTGGCTCAGCCTGTCCAAGGTCACCTAGCC